GAGAACGTGAGAACACGGCAGAGACGCGGTTTTGCAACGACCTTAAAAATACATTACGTGTGAAGAAGGTAGTACACGTGGCATGCAAACGGTGACAAGTCTTCTAGATACGTTATCGAGCGTGTCAATCAAGCTTAAAGAGGACCTTTGTCGTCGAGCAGTAGCGTTTCAAACGCGGCCGTTGTACTCGAGCGTCGATAATTAATCGAAATAGAGAAGCGAAAACGACGAATGATCGTTCGAAATCGTCCATTGCTCGACGCCAGTCGCCCACATCTACCGGGTTACAATCGATTCCGGGCTTCTTATTGTCACTGTTATTCACTGAAAGCTAAACGCCACTAATCAAGACCAAAAAAAGCCTACAGCATGCACACTTCTCGAAGATGTCCTGTAGTTTTCGTCTCGACGCTATCGCGCGACTTTCCCCGGGGTGGGGGTGGGGGGCAGTGTGAATTGTTTCTCCGTGATTGTCCAGCGTGCACGGGTCTCGACGCCGACGCCCGTCGATCAGCGTGCAAAAACCACGACGAAATCGTTCGAATTCTCCCACTATTGTTCGCCTGATGGTCGATTCTAACGTCGCTATAACGAATAATCGACGCAATAAAGCTGACTCTATTCCGTACTACAGACAATCTTTAAAACTTTGTTCCAACTAGAGAGAAATTGTCGAATCGAAACGTGAGGCAAAGGGTTAACGTTTAAAAAAATATAATTCGAAGATACATTCGACGGTGTATTTAAAAAAAAAGCGAAGAGAAATTAAACGACTCTGTCTGTAGTCGGGTCAGATTAAAAAAAAATATCGAGAGGAAAAAGAAACCCAAAAAGGGAGGCTCGTGACAAGCGATGCATGCCACGCGGATCGAGATCGCGAGATTGGACGATTGAGAATTCCAAGTGGTATTTGATAAAATAGAAAAAGATCTTCTTTATTGCCTGGACAGAACACACAATGGACCGAGAAACAGTGACAATACCCTGTCTGTACGCGAACCGTGGATCGTTGAGGCCCCGTTCGCGCTAAGAGAGTGGGGAGGTGGCCTTGAACGGCCAACAGATTCTGTCCAATCTTTCGTCTCGATAAAAGATTCTCGATCTTCTCGATTTCCCGTCTTCCGACTCCTGGCAGCGTCGAGGGCTCAACAATCCGCGAAGATCGAATCCTATCTAAAATAATCGGCATCGTCCAGCTTCTGGAGGGGGTTGACTCTATCGAACTTAATTTATCGAGAACCGATCCCACGTCTCGGAGGGGGGCGTATCGCACACGCTCCTCAATTCGTCTCTTCCTGGAAATTATACCGTTTTCTTTATCGACTTCGTGTCTCCTCGTTGTCCTTAGACCTCTCTTCTTCGAGCCCCTTTAATCGTTCTCCTCGTGTCCACGTGTAGCTTCTTCCTGACGGGAATGTCTCTCTTCTTACTTCCGGTAAACGCGGATCGTCGCTCGAGCATCCACATTAATCGTTCGCGAGCTCGATTAAACGAGGTTCTGCCAGAGATGGGCGAAATTCGCGTACGGATAACAAATTTCGAGCAAAGTAAATGACGAACGGAAGGAATTCGACCCTTTGATGCACAAATTCTATTATAAAATATTGCAATTTATTTTCATCGATATCGTTCTGTCTTGTTATTGGCGCGTAACTCAAGCTTGGTTCAGTTTTTCGAGGCTAATCCAGTTAGGGATGGAGTTTAGATCTCTTAGCACTTTGACAGAGAAGATAAATAAGAGGATTCCATGTACGAATGCAATTTATTGGGGTGTCGAGGCCCCCAATAAGGAGCCACAAACGATAACATCGACAGGGAGAGATACTTTCGTGAAGAGAGGGTGATGTACACTTAAGGAGCACCTATCCCAAGCGCTATGCAGATAAGGAGAAACCCTTAGGATCGCAGCAGAAGTTCTGTGACACGCAGGACATCCACGTTCGAGTTCGATCCGTCAGACAGGTCGACGGCTCGTTCTCGTTGAGAGGTTGGACGATACGATCGTTGACAGGGTGTCTGCGTCCTCCCCCAGCCCTCCGTCACAATCAGGACATTCAGAACCATCGATACCGACGAAGGACGCGGAGGGTGAATCGATCAGGCGTTCGGAAGAACCGAAGATACAGTAGAGATTCGATCATCCATTATCTGAATATCGTATTTGATCATTTCACTGTCAGAACGATCTGTTTTGCGCAAAGAGGGTGGTGGAAACTATTCTGATAATTGATTGTACGGGAATGCTGAGAGCACGTTTCCATGATCTCGATGTTTAGAGAGATATGAGTTTCCAGGATCCTCAAGACAAAGGATAGAACTGAGAAATTGAAAAACTGAGTATTGCTGTCGATGATCTAGGACAATTTTTCTACAGAAAGTTTGGAAGAAAGGGAGATTCAGTTCTCAAAGGTCGAATCCAAGTGTTCGAGCCCAGGTTATGGACATTCTGAAGTTCGTGGGACGGTTTGGACCATCTGGGTGAAGGTAAATAGTATTAGCAATGCGCATAACGCAAATTCCGTGGCTGTTCGTGCGAGGAATGCCACGTATCCGACCTGAGATACGCGGTGAAGCCGTCCAGAATTGACGGGAAATCGATAGTGTGGTGACCGATGTCGACAAAAACAGAACCGAGCTTGAAGTATATGGATCGTTTAACTTTGTCAGATTCGCGTTAAACGAATATCGTGCGCGAGAGGGTCGACCCGTTCGATGGAACAAACATCACCTTTGAATTTTCTTACTATTCGAATAAGGCCCAAATCTGCGCTCTGGCTTTCCAGATACAGAGTAGAAACGCGTCGTTCGAGTAATACTGTTAATCTAAGGTTACAGTCTACGTACAAGAGGTAACTCTCTTACGATCACTAGAAGTAATACCCTGCGTCGGTTCTGGCGAGGAACGGGGCGAATAATTCCACGAAAAAGTGTAGAATATATATATAAAAAAAAAAAATAGATACAAAAATATCTGGATAATAAAGTTCGAGCGCGGGGGAACGAGAATGTTCGATGGAATGTCGTCGCTATCGACTGCCCTAAATTCTATGTTGCTAAAATACTTTCAAATACCCTGTGGTTCCGTTAAAATTAACATTACAGTCTAAATCGTTCGCGGATGCACGCGCGGAAACGTCAGCGAGCGTTCGAAACCGAGTGCTGGGGATCGTTCGAATATTTACGTACACTCGAATACCACGAATTAACTTAAAAAATATTTCGGTATTTAAATAATTCCATATTGAGTTATTGTACTGAAGATAAAGTTTAGGAAACAATCCCTGTACTTCAGAATTTCAGATAGAGCAATTTTACAAATTTAAAAATAAATTGTCAGATGCATTTGTTTTCAACCAAAATGTATTTAAGTAACAACCACTGCTCAATTTCTGTCGAACAAGCTCAGGCTTGGAATTATTTTATCGATAATTTACAGTTAATTCGTTGGAATATTTGAATGGAGATAAATTGGGAAATCAGTCCCAGCATCGGTGCAGAGGACGACGGCCTCTCGATCGCGAGAACTCGAACGATGATCGATCACCGGTCCAAAGAAAACATCCCCTCTCGCTCCGCGGAGTAAACACAACGTCCACGCTGCAGTTTCCTTCACGGTGCAACCGCGATTAGGAATCGTCGGTTCGTTGACCTATGAACTAGAGGTTCGCTCTGTCTCGTGCCGACCTACCACTGACCGATAGACGCTACCCACGTGCGGCTATTTCTAATCGCTCTGAATCATCTTTCATCGAAGATCTCACAGTCTCCTCTTCTTTCCCCGTCGAGGGAAATCGCAACTGGAGAACATCCACGCTTCGGAAGATTCGAAATTCCCCCAGAAAATATATATTCGAGCAACGAAGAGGCTCGCGAATCAATCTTAGAAACAAGCATGCGTTCCCAAAGTTTCTGGCCATTCTAGACAACCGATCGATAGACTCGAGGAAAGCTCAGAAATGATCAAACTTCCTTTCTCGTGTCTTTCGTTCGGTTTCTCGAGGATGGCTCGGAGCTTTAGCGTCGATGGATCAAGAATGCTTGGCTTCGAAGATCGATTCTGGCCACAGCGTCGATCGTTAGAGTATTCTGAAACTTTGGTTCGATTTCTAAGCGTGAAACGATATTCTGTCCGCGGTAAATAGAAGTGGTCGGTGTGTGTGAGAAACGTGGGATAAGTCTGGGCCCGTTGGGACACGACGAACGAAAACGTAAGATAAATGAAAAAACAAAGTGAAGAGAATAGTAAGACAGTACTCGCGAACTGGTTGAACGACGAGCAATTAGTTGTAGGTAAATAAAGTCTGTACACCCACCTTGGTTCTGCTGGAATCATCGAGAACCCTAAAAGAAAAGGTCTGAGGGGCAGAGCGTGAGGTTGGGGGTCATGGGGACAAGAGCGGAGCCTTTTTTCGCGAGGACCATCTAAGGGCCAGTGCTAGACCTGTCGCACGACGAAACGAAACGTCGTCTCCACGCGAGAAACGCGACCTGGGCCAATCGAGTCGCTGGGAACTCGAATTCGGAATTAAGAAAATATAAAAATGGAAAATGGAGACGAGAACTCGGTCGACTCGACGTCCCAGGACGCGTTGCGTCGTTCTCTGAGAAACAGCGTTCAGAGAAATGAAAATCAAAGAAAAAAAAAAATTTGTAAAAAAAAGAAGTAAAGGATCGTGAATCGGAGAAAATTCTCTCACGATCGCGATTCGTGCGATTCTATGGCTCGTGGCTGTCTTTTTGTTGGCTTGGTCGTGGTGTGTTGGCGGCTGTTGGGAAGAAAGAAACGAAAATGTGAACTATCTGATTCGGTCTCGGTGCGCGTGTGCTCGAGACCGTCTCTTTCGCGACACTAGGACCAATTCGATCCGATGATTGTCTCTCGTCGTCACTGTCGTCGCCTTTGCCCGATCATCGCCTTCAGGAGAACCCGTGGCAATTCTCACGGATCTCGAAGTAGAGATTCAGCAGTGCCGATTCGGGCACGTCGTGGAAGCACCTACCCTCTGGCCACTGTACGCACACTGAAACAAAACGAAACGTTCACGTTAGCACTGGTCCTCTGAAAATCTATCTTAAACTATTTTAAAGTGATGAAAGTTACTATCTAGGAGTGTTTGCAAAAACTCATTGTTATATAGAAAAATTTATTCACCGATCAACGATACCTGAAATTCTTATCTCAGTGTCTATTAATTATAATTGGTGTCAATTGGAAGTAGCAATCGAAGTACTCGCTAAATATTCCAAAGTCTACTTTCTGTCTTTCTGAGATCGACAGAACAGAAGTTACAATTTATAAAATAGTTCCAATAGAGTTGGAATCTACAATAGTTTGTCCCCCATTTTGGTGCTCGATAAACGCTCCAGTCTCGATTAAAGTGACATTCGCCGGAACAGCGATTACAATTAGCTCGTCGTAATTGGGCAATCGATTAGACGAACCAAGGGGAAGAAGCGGGCCAACCCGTCGCGTCGATGGAAAACCAATTCCCTCCCCCCCGTAGAAAATCTCGTTGGAAGAACCTATCGTCGGCGGTTTCGACCGACATCGCGTGCAAAGGAGAACAAGAGCTCGAAGGATGCTGATCGATTGCCTTTTATTTCAACGGGACTCAACGGATGCCGGTTGCAAGTGCGTTTTCTCACGGAAGCAGATCCTCGGGATCCGCAATAAATTATCCCGCGTGTCGATATCAGCGCGAAACACGAGATGGATAGTCCGGAACCAGGCGTCTGTCTCCCAGAGAGAAGATCCAGGCTTTTCTCCTCCATTTCTGAAATTGTTTCGTCACGTTTCCGTCGAAAAACTGTCCTGTTCACGATCCTCGGATCCATCGTTTTTAAATCCATTAACTGGAATATCTTTCGAGCCTCCTCGAACCTCTTTCAGCTTTGGGTGAATAGAAAATTTCTCATCGACCACTACAAATTATTTCCCCCACACCAAAAGAGATTTCCAAACGAAATAAAAATGCAATTTATCGGTTACAGAGTCGAGGGGCCGAATTAACATAAATTTTCCGGGAAACGAGATATCTAAATTAATTTCGAGCGAGCAACCGGACAGCTGGTGATTGAAACGAACTTCCATCGTATAATGTATAACGATTAAATCCAGCAATTCGATCGACGGTTAAATTTTTATTCCTAGTGAAATATCGTGTTTAACGCGTTACGAAATTGGTTTATTTTTCACGTCACCGGAGCGACGCGATTTTCCACAAAATATCACACGAAATTCGAATCCTTCGACACGAATAACGAATAAAAATCTTCTCCTCGCGGGGAGGACGAATCGGCGAACGCCTCCGAACAGATCGTATCGGAATAAATGTAAATTCCCAGTGTATCGGTTTTTCATGAATACCGTGAACGATCGAATTTATCGCTACCATGTCGTAACGGGGGCACCGAACCCCACCGCAGCGGGATAAATTACGGCCCTGTGTTTCGCCCGGTAATTTCGATCGACATTTGTAATTCGGATTGCACGCTCGCGATAATGGAATTTCAAATAAAAACGAACGATCTGCCGGAACGAGAAACATTCGTCGCGTACAAATCCATCGGTTTATCGCCGACTTTGCAAACACGGAATCTCCCAAATTCCCTTTGTTCCTTCTATCTCGACGAGATCGTGAAAAGCTTGCGAGGAAAAATAACCGTATCGAGAATCGATGGAAATTCCGCGAACCGCTAACCTGACCCACTGGCATGAGAGTTAGCTCCATTCGTCAAAAGACGTCTCTCGGACGGTCGCATTATTATTATCTCTCGGTTATTTTCGTACAGCTGAAAAATTACAGCATTTATTATAACATCGCAGGCAATGGGTCAGCGTGCATGATGGATCGACTTCGCGGAAGATGAATCAACGAAATTTATAATATTTCTGGATCCTCGGTATTAATAGAGACCCACTTTGCAAACTTCGCTGTTTGAAGGGTTTCGAAACGTCGAAGAACGCTCGAAGAAGTTAAATTAAAGGATCCTTGGTTATATTTCGTTTCTATTATAAAAAAATAAGTTCTAGTTGTCGTCCAAGAGTCCTAACCCAAACCCACTTTGTAAACTTAACAGTTCGAAGGGTTTCGAAACGTCGAAGAACCTTCGAAGAAGTTAAACTAAAGGATCCTTGACTATATTTCGCTTTTATTATAAAAAAAATAAGTTCCAGTTGTCGTCCAAGAGTCCTAACCCAGACCTATCCCAAATCCACTATGTAAACTTAACAGTTCGAAGGGTTTCGAAATGTCGAAGAACCCTCGAAGAAGTTAAATTAAAGGATCCTTCGTTATATTTCGTTTTTATTATAAAAAACCTAAGTTCCAGTTGTCCAAGAGTCGCGTTGTGAAGATTGCGCGGGCGACAATAACAGAGGGTGATTTACGTGCACGTAATGGGTCGCGATTTCGGGATGGTCAGCTTTGATGGACGAACGTCGCTCGAAGGATTGATCGGTGGATCGCGTGCCAGAGGGCTGTATCTCCGCCGATGCGGCCATAATGAAACGGAAGGTGGCGAATTATTCGTCCAACCTTAACCCCCCTGGACAACCCTCCGATTTCGCCCAGAACCAGCCCCGGGTATCGCTGGCGACCCGCAACTGGACACGCTATCTGGTGTCCGTGGAATCTCGTGCATATCTCCGTCTAATTTAAATCTCAATTCTGCTGGTTGATAAACAACGGTTATGCCGTTTTCGCGGAGGAACCGTTCTATACGATGCTCCACTGGCACACATGCGATCGCCTGAATGTCGAGGGTTATTTCCTCGGTGGGTGTCCTTAAAAACAGCAATTTTTTCTCATGGGAGTCCTTCTTAACTCTCGTTTATCAGACACGAACTTGCACACCGTACGTGTTACTCCACTTTTAGTCGATTCCTCGTCCGAACGATACCGTCGTGATTACTATGTCGAGATGAACGATACGCTATTTAATTGCTCCGGAGCAGTTAACTCGGAACAAGAAAGATATCAACCGATTTGCATTCAGAGTCGTTCTATACGTTTCTAAAAATAAATAACTGAATTTAAAATCTTGCTTTCGTGCTGATCTCGAAAGGAGAGCGAGCTTTTTTAATACGAATGATCGTTCGAAAGGAACGAAGCTTGGAAAGTTTATTTCTCGGGATCGACGCGAGGAAACCCATGTTTCGTGGCGGTTGAAAGATCGAGGAATTCCCGAGTTGATTTTCGAGAGCTTCGACGTGATTCTGGCGTGGCCACAGGGAGATGTTTCGGCCTCCATTTGCAAAATTGTTTCGGAACCTTCCCCTTCGTGCAATTTCGACGATGTGAAAGCTTCTGGGGAGCGTAGGACGCGTCAAGATCGCGCTAAAAGTATTGCTACGATGAGCATTTGGTGGAAGTTAGTATAGGGCGATGATGGTAATTCTTTTAGGGGATGTTCCACAGGCCAGGAAATGTTAAAAATTGCGATACAAGGTTCCCTCTGTTAAAGAGACTGGATAAACAATTTTAACTTGTCTTTATACAAAATTCTTCGTTGAGATTTTTATAAAATTTGTTACGAAGAACCAATACCCTTGGACGATTTGTCATCGTCGAAAAATCATCGATCAGATTTGCCAGAGTTGTCATTCGCTGGTGGGTTCGGAAATAGTCACTTTGAAATGTTGCCTTTTTGAAACGACAGACACGTCGGGGAACGCGTGAAATGTCGGCATAGAAACTAGATGGATCTCCCTACCCCTTCCTAGACCCGGGGGAACTGTTCTATAAAATCGTGGAAAACCGTGACCCATCGCCGCGGGAGAATTAAAAGTTATCGAGTGCCAGCGGGAGAGGCCGCGACATTTTGTGCCAGACGTTACACACACGACACATAGCACCACCTATCTACGTTTAATAATTATTTAATCCCAGATTGTACAAGACTTTCCAACTTTCTTTAGACGTCGACTAATTTTTCTTCCCGTGAACTTTGCAGATTGCAAACGTGAGCAAGGAAAAATATTTTAATCGAGTTGAAACATCGAAATAAATTAAAAAAAACGTACCATAAGGGAAACGATAAAGTACGATTACTAGAAACGATATTCGTGTTCTAGGGTCAATAAAAGCGTTAAATACACTCAACTGGTCCGTTTCGATCGATATCAAGCACACGACTATCGTTTTAATTCAAACCATTAACGTCGTTCCGTTTGCACTTTGACCTTGATGACGTTCCGAATTAGAACGTTATTTGTAACTAACTAGCGTTGCTATATTATTATGTATTTATAAACGAAAGGATGACCGAAGCTACTTAATTAATAGTTTCGAGTAAATTGGAGTTGATCCTCGCCGACGATGCGTCGAAAATGGCCGCGTATAAAGGGGGCGAGCTCGTGAAAAATGGATGTAAAAGCGAAACGACGGGATGAAATTTTCAAGAACGGCAGGAAGTTCTTTCGGGATGGCCGTTGTACACGCGTACTCCCGGAGCAGCTAGAATATTCACTCTGTCGTCTCTTATCGCTTTATCCGCGCTGATGGTCGAACAAAGAAAATGGCAAAGAGGACGTTTTCGAAACGGGGTAAAAAAGAGAGAGATAGGCAAAAGGACAGTCGAGCGTTTCGACGGGGATTAGTTGTGAAACGCGCGAAGATTTTGTCTCCGCCATCAGAAGATAAAACGTCCTCGAAAATGAATTTTATTTCAAATACTTTAGTCAATTTTGCAGACAACAGTTATCTATGAAAAAATGCTGGCTAGTAATTGTGGAGTCACCCTGTATACAAATTTAAATTTATTTTCAATCAGAGGAACAATTTATAATCCAGTACTATCGTACACCAGTCGTATAATCCATATGTAACGTTAAATATCAAAATAAACATAGAAGACAGCATAAAATATAGTAGTTGGTATAGCCATCGGATAGAGGATGAAATGCCCTTTAAAATGAGCGTTCGTACAAGTTGATAGCGTCATTAGTTCCGGAGATATGACGATTTTAGTTTCGCGTCGATACGGTGGCTAATTACGGAGATACAAGGGTCGGAAGCGTTTGTTTACGTTTCATGGAGATCAATGAACTCGCACGCGTGTCCATAGTAAACAGTGCGTAGTAAATTCTTGGAAATACTACGCTTCCTGGTCACGTGACTGTCGCGACTCACGTGCGAGCGAGAGCCCGACGCGACGCGTCAGACGGAGACAGCGATAGTCAAATTAAGAAAAATACCCTTTTACATAAATTGCGATGTCTCGAAAATGGAATGTCGGATCGCCAAAAAACAAAAACCATTTCAAAAAGGAGGCTTTGCCGCCGCTAACAATGGCGCAATAATGGAGAAAATACTAATAATTTCGAAACTGTAAGTAATTAAAGTTTTAGTGATTTCAATGCGCGTTAGTAGTGCGTTTTAACATGGGAAGCGCCATAAGAGAATTATTTAAAAATTACCTATTTACATAAATTACGATATCTCCTAAACGGAAAGTCGGATCGACAAAAACCAAAAACCATTTCAAAGGGGAAAGTTTGCCGTCGCTAACAATGGCTCAATTATTAATAAAACACAAATAGTTTCGGAAATGCACGCGTCTAAACTTTAACTATTTTTACTACGCGTTCTTGGATTGTTCTGAGACAGTGGGAGCTGAATTTTCTTCTTTCGTCTTTGCCACATACTTCCTATTTACGAGTTCAGCGTTAATATTAGGTGTACAAATGAATAATCCAAATTATCTTAAGCAGTTATAAAATCAAGTTTAAAGTCAGTAGATTTTCCCGCTCTTTTGCGGTCATATAGTGTTGACATATAGCTAGTTAAAACAAAAGATAGTTTAGCGAAAGGCCCAACATAACCTCAAAAAGTATTCAATTCAGTAGAGTCGAAAATGGCAACAGATAAGGTGCATATCCGACACTGCATTCTTTACGAATTCCAACAAGGGAAAAATGCTGCAAGAGCATGCGAATCGATTTGTTCCTTTCTCGGTGCATGTGTTGTATCGTATTATGTGTGCGTATTTTGGATTAAGCAGTTTAAAAACGGTGATTTGAGTCTAATCGACAAACAACGCCCTGGAGGCCTAAGGAAGTGCGACAACGATGATTTGGAACAACTGCTCGCTGAGAATGCGGCACAAACGCAAAAGGAACGAGCAGAACAGTTAGGAGTAACCCAGCAAACGATTTCCAAACGCCTACGTGAGATGGGAAAGATCCAGAAAGATGGAAAATGGGTTCCGCATGAACTCACTGCAACCAACAAAAATCAACGAGTGGCAGCGTGTCTTTCTCATCTCAATAAGCAGCGTCGAAAGTTTTTTTGTGGAAAATCGTTTTGGGCGATGAGAAGTGGATACTTTATGACAATCCGAAACGCAGAAAGTCATGGGTAAATCCCGGGGAAGCATCAACATCGGTTGCAAAACCCAATCGCTTCGGAAAGAAGGTTCTTTTCTGCATTTGGTGGGATATCAATGGCGTGGGTTTATTATGAGTTGTTGGAACCAGGTGAAACAGTTATTGCGGATTGCTACCAACGTCAATTAATCTGCTTGAATCAAGTATTGGAACGAAAACGTTCGTATACTGGCAAAGAAGAACGCCCAGTGAAATTGTTGCATGACAACGCCAGGCCACATATTGCTTCCCATACAAAAGACATCATAATGAGTCTTGGCTGGGACGTCTTGCAGCACTCGGCGTATTCACCAGACATTGCTTCATCTGATTATCACCTGTTCCGGTCGATGCAACACGCCTTATCCGATATGCACTTCCAATCAATGGATGAGATCCGAAAATGGCTTGACGACTTTATCGGGTCCAAAAACGTAAAATTTTTCCGAGATGGAATTTATCAGTTGCCTGAAAGATAGCTTAAAGTTATAGAAAGTAATGGCGAATACTTTGATGGAATAATTCAATTCACTTTCTTTTAAAATAAACATTGAATGTGGCTGAAAAAATTGGATTATTCATTTGTACACCTAATATATCCGCTGTCAATTCTTACCTAGTTGATACCCCGAGGAACCGACTGACGTTCGTGTTAAAATTAGATCTATCCCGTCGGCCGGAACTCGCGGTATCGGCACGGAAACCTGTGGCAAATGCCAGTCGTGCCAACCGTTAAGAGGCGTTAGCCTCGGCGATGCATACCAGGTACGCGTTAAACGGTCCAAGTCGACCTTAATCTCGCCGCGTGTGGGCGTACGCGTGGCTTTAGTTCGCGGATAATTGAGCGATCCGAATGCTAGACCAAATTTCACCAACCGATGCGGTCGTTAAGGAATTGCCGCCACCAGGTGAGAATCGATCGATGGACGGGGCTGAATCGCTCACGTGACTTTGAAGGATCGTGATTCCCCGAAAAAAAAAGAACCAATCCATCTTCCCTAGACCTCTAGAACTCTGCTCCGATCGTTCCACATTTGTAAAACTCGATAACGTAGACTTCTGTACTCTCAAAAAATAAAATTTACACCACGTGCAAATAGTCCCAGAAATGTCTCTACTCTACTCTGGGGGATTTCGTAGACCAGGCGAAGATTCGGTTTCAGGGTTAATCGACGTAATTAAAGGATATAGAGGGAACCGTTGCATGCGTCGAGGCGGTGATCTCGGTTTCGAAACAGGGTCGAACTTCCTAAAATCCACCGATCACGCGGCTGAAACCGTGGCGCTGGAACTCGTTGGTTCGAACGGCCGCGCGTCAATTAAGTGTCCGATTACGGACTAACGAATTCGCCCTATAATTAGAAACGCTTTCGTCGCCTGTTCTCGCGCGCGATCCGGGTTATTCGAACGGTTCTCAGCTTGGGAAACACTTGGCAGCCGACGTTCGTCATTGTTGTTCGAGTGCCGATTATTTATAACCGTGCGACTCGTGCTCGAGTAGGAAAAAAGTCGCGTCGATTCGATCGGGTCGACCATCGAGGCGCAGAAAAAATACAATTTCTCTCGCGAGCTTTCGACGATATTTCAGGTTAATTAATATTTGTCGATTTGTTTTTCTTGGTAAATAAAATATAAAAATCTGTTTTAATCGATATCGACTGTTACGTATAACGCTAGTAGGTAGAGGATTGTCACGCAATCGGAATTTAATGTTTTCGACGGTGCGTCTGGTCAAGACGAAAACCTCGCTTAAATTTTCGCCAAATACGAGCGCTTGCTGCAAGCCTGGGTCGCGACTGGACGATCTGGTAAGCCGGATTAAGACACGATTTGAATGGGGTCGCACAATGGAATCGTGATTAGATTTAGATTAAAGCCAATTGCTCGGACGATAGGATTAGAGCGAGACCGTACGATCTCGGGGATTTTGCAGCGATGAATTGTGCTCGATGACCTCTCCGTTATCTGTTGATACCAGGAGTTTCCCAGAAAATTCAACGACGGACTACTCCGTGTCCAGGAACGGCTTAGAATTCGTTTTAGCCCGTAGAAATTAGACAGAACATCGTTACGAGTTTGTTTGAAATAAGAGCGACTGCTATCAATGTAGTAAACAGTTTCAAATCTTAACCCTTTGCACTCCACTGGTGACAAATATAATACATACCATAGCTCGATTCAAGTTTCATTTGTGATAATATTAACTGAATTTAGGAAATGTGAGAATAAAATTTCAATTATAGGCATTTATACATTTTTGCGTGAAGAGGAATATTTTTAGATTTTTAGAAGTTACATGAAAAAATTGCATTTGGTATTGCTAGTTGTTAAAAGCAAGCTACGAGTCTTAGATTCGAACTATTCTCGAGACACTGTGAGTGCCAAAGAAAATTACAGTGAAAACTCGATAAATGCCCTCAAGAGCTGTTCCATAAATGATACATTTTTATCCCCACCACTAGGGGGATCCCCCTTGAACCAGTGAGGCGAAGTGTAACCGGAGACGTAGCGGCTTTCTTTAAAAATCTTTATTGCCTTCGTCATCTTAGTTTAAATGTCCCTGTCAGTGTAACCACACTACTGTACAAGAAGAAAGTTTTTTATTTTTTACTTTTTTTTAATAAAAATTTTACTATCATGTGGGGAAGATTTTTCTAATTAAAATGAGACTAAACACGATATAAATCGGCCAATATTTGTTACCATAATATTGAATTAAATATTGTGTACTCGTATCTTCGCAAGGTCAGTGGATTGGTACATTTATCGAACAGTGGTAGCTAACGAAACCCCCTATTTCATAAGTGTTGCAGTTTTTGATCACTTACGAAACGGTGGAACCGTTCCGTTTGAAAATAACTACCTCCCGTTCGATAAATGTAGCCAGAACCTCGATGCGTCGTTCTTTGATATTTCCGAACATAGAAAAGGACAGCACAAGAAGGATAAATAAAGAGAGAAAGACTCGCAAGTACAATATTTAATTCAATATTATGCTACCAAATATTGACCGACTTATATCGTGTTTAGCCTCATTTTAATCAGAGAAATCTCCCCAACATGATAGTGAAATTTTTATTAACAAAAAGTAAAAAATAAAAAACTTTCTTCTGTGCAGTAGTGTGGTCACACTGACGCGGATATTTAAACTGGGGCGATAAATCCGAGTTTCAGTCCCTCTTTCTTCTTTAGCTACTGACTCTTTCTACGTTCGAAGCGTCGGCAAACTACAATCAATTTCGAAAGACGATTCTCCTATTCCGTAAGTGTTGCTGACCGGACCCGGAGTAGCGACATTTATCGAGTTTTCACTGTACTACGTTTTCTCAGTGAAAAAGAATTTGATGATACTAGTTTCCAAGACCAAAGTAAAAAATAAACGTGGACCTACCGTTGGGTACCGTCGGTGGTTTTTTCGTCTGCACCCTCGCTGTGGCGTTGTTCACCTGTCGAATTAAGAAGAGAGCGTTAGAAATCGTCGAACGTATCCCAAAACCGATCTTCTAGTATCGATAAACGTCGAGATCCGTGCTGGCCAGCCCTTCCATCGACTGCATTTTCAAAGACAACTTCCGCTCGAATATTTCATCCAACAAATTTACCAACATCAACTATCTCAGCTTCGAAGTCGCGAATAATTTTGTCGTGAGAGTCGAAGGGCGAACAAATTCGCGTTCGTCGGTAGCTGTCGATGAAATTGCAGTGTCTCGATGATACAGCATGTTTCTTTTTGCCCTCCCCTCGCCCCGAAATGACAAGAGAACCGCAGTGGTTCGTGTGAAAATCGAACAACGCCAATTTCGGGCGGCCACGCACGAATCTCGTGATCGCGAGCACGTCGATGGACGCATGATCGGATCCGCGGATGCAATTCTTCCGCGTGTCGCCTCGATTTTCGTGGAAATTACACGGTGGACAGTAAAAAAAACAGAAAAAAAAATCGCCACGCGGAATGACGTTTGTGCGTCGATCGACGAGCGTCGAAGTAATTTGTCGTCGGAAATGGTTGCAGCTGCGCGTCGCTGTCTCGTTTCATTAATATTTTGTTCCCGTTTCTGTTCGATGTCCTCGAAAAGTTACGTTTTCGAAAGTTCGCGAGTCGCGTACGACGTTCAGCTGCACGTTTCGCTTGAATTCAGATGTCTCTCGGTGTCTTTCCCGATCGAATTCGAAAATCTGGCGGCCTCGTCGATGTCTACGCGTCAAACCCCGAAACGATCGTGGGAAACTTTGCGCCAAATCCTCGAATCGGACCTTCTGCATGCTCTAAATTCAAGGAATGCTTTAAACGTCGCTTATCGAGGAGGAACAGGCAGAATTTCGGAGAGTCTCTCGGAGATTTCGCCTGCTGGAACTCTCTTGGCCGTGAAGACGATGAAATATACGCAACGACAGGACACTATTTTATTCCATCGAAATATTTTCATAATTCAAGTTTGTACTCGACCATCGAAATACTAGTTTAAAATTTGTATTTCCCGAAGAATCGTCTCCAGGGCCAAGAACGAAGATACTCGTTCGATCGCTTCGACGCCCCAAACGTAAAATCACGTCCAATTTTCAAGCCCTAAATAATTTCTGCCTTCGAAGGTCTCGTTTCCAATTCGTTATTGCGCGAAGAGCAACCTTCGGATTTCTCAGGGCGTCAGGAGCGATCGATCGACGTCCTTCGAGCTTAAATTCCGGGAAAGCTGAGCACGTGAAAGGAATCATCTCGAAACGTTTCAGCATAGAATGCAATCTCGACTTAAAAAAAAAGAAAAATAAAAAAAAAGGAAAACCAAACGACACAAAGGCGAAAAGACGTTAAGGTATCGTCGTCGAGCGCTCTGCTTTCCCGGTGACGATTGAGAAACGAAACGGTGGTGGGGAGGGGGAAAAAATCAAGAGACTGTTGCCGTCGATTTCCGATTATTTCAATTTCGCGCGAGCACTTTCGTCGCTGAGCGAAACGGAGAAGCTCCGCGAGCTTGACTTCGCTTTATCCGTTGGCTTCCTCTCTTTATCGCGCACTCCCATCCGCTTTTCCGCGCTTTTCCTAGCCGGGGAAACGCCTCGTCGACGCTGCAGTTTCGCGTTTCGTTCTCTGCCACCTGTGTTTCCATTCTCGGTGGAAAAAAACATTTCGCTTTCGACGTTTTTCGAAATTTCAAAATACTGTCGGACGCTCGTACAGAAATTGAATAGTTATATTTTCCACTTTCTAGCGTTTCTTCTTGAGTTTCGAACGCAAACGAGCGTCATTCCAGGAAATTAATATCCATAATCCCTCAGCCGCGTATTTCCTGTTTCGTAGCTGCGTATCGATTATTGGAGAATTCATTTATCGGAAGTGGTTTATTTCCCTATTATTTCTGATGTTCTTCCGTACTTCGTACGCTCGTAAACGAATTACGTAAACGTATCAACGTATTTATTGTAATAACAATGGTGCAATAATAATATCGCCACAGAAAACTTCGTAATTTAAAACGTTTCACGCTTCGTGGATTATTTTCGGTAGGAAAACCGGACTCTTCGATTATTAGAATCCGTGTTCACGTTATTCTGCATCGCGTGACCCGTCGTGTCACCGTTTTTTGGAGGGTGTTGACAAGTGCGCCAACAAGAGGAGCAACAGGGGCTTGAAAACCGCTGAAATTGCTACTTACGGTCCCTCCGGGGTCAATGAATCCATAATAAAAGGGGTTCGAGTATTTTTCTAGCGAAATATTCGTATCATCAGGTCGGTAGAAATTACTTCGTACCTTGGACCATTCAATTACCCCTTTTCTACCCCTTCTGTTCGGTTTTCCCGAGGATTGCGAGGGCCAATCGCGCCATTTGCATTTTACGATCTTGTTTCCAGCAACGAGGATTCGACGTCGCCATTTTGTTGCGTTATAGTTATGGTCGGATTAAACGAACGTTGCTGCACCTAACGAGCTATCGTGTCTAATTTTCCCGACGTGAAATTACGGTCTTAAGGTGGCCATAAATCGGCCAATTGGATTACAAAGTGGACAAAACGTTTCGAGGGTCCCATCTCGTAAATTCAACATCGTGTTTCGGCGATTGTAAATTGTCGTACGTTCAAATTTCCCAACAAGATTCGTTTCGAAGAGAATTAAAGTTAAGCGTTTCTCGATTCTCTGTTGTTCTTTTTCAAAGCCAAGAAGATTTATATTCGGTAGTAATAATACATACGTCTTTGTTGTGTCGAGATTGTATACGATAAAAATTAAGTATTCGTTGAAGAGGAGAAGAAAAGAAAAAGAGAAAATTAACGTACACGAGAGAAAATAAGTATACGTTTGCCACAAACTAGGTACAGCTGTTATTAACCTAACCTCCATCCATATTAATAGTCCTCGAGTACATGGTACGTAAACAATGGTACAAACTATTCCACTTAGAACGTGTGAAACTTCATAAAAACAGTCAGATTATTATCAAATACTGAAAATACACACTGTCTTTTAATAGAAGCCGAATTTTTGTCGAATTTAGAAATATTTTTCTATGATACGAAACAAGGCTTTTCCTCTTGAACGTTTCTACACGCTTTATTTACGAAAGTATACTAACTGCGTGGATACTCATGCAAAAATGTATGTTTGTGCCAACGGGCACGAAAACAAGAATTAATCGTTCTGGAGCAAACTAAATGGAGAAAGTTACGAAAGTGTAACGCGACGAATCTTACTGTCAGCGAGTAGATTTTGGCACGTGTTCGATACGGGAGAGAGAATCGAGATCGGCGTGCGACAAACAAGTAAACAAACGACGGGCAGGGAATACAGACAGAATCTGTGCTTTCGGAATCGATTCTCGCGTTGCCTTGTTCGCATCAACGGATAACAAACAATACGCACGGCGGGATGAACCCCGAAATCTTTGTTTGCCATCCATGTATCGTATTAAGCGTCCACGCTGAAAGCCTCCGGTCCCGCGCATGCAAATCCGCGTAGCAATTGTTTTGCAAATTAGACTCGCGATACGCGCCCCCGTCGCTCTATTGTCCGTTTCTGGATCGATTTTTATTCTTTCGCCGACCGCTATAGCAAAACTGTACAAATTCGTTCAAATTTTTAGGATTTCGTTTTGTCGTTGAAGCGGGATACCGTTGCCTCCTCGAAACAACTACTTTCGATCCGACACGATCTTCCATTCAAACTCGCGCTCTGATTTTCGAAAAGGAGAATGGATCGTTATTTTGCCTCGATTCGTAGCTTCAGAGTTTAGCCAGATATAGACTCGAAGCTTCCACTAACGAAATCAATAGAATTGTTTCAAATAATGAAATTGGAAATGTATTTCAGTCGATGTTCTACACGAGTCGATCAATTTACCGTGACTTTAATAGCAACATTCACATTTGACGTGAGCACTTTGTCATCGAATTGTCGTCGATAGAATCGTTTAGAATCACGAAAACGCAGAACCCAGAAAGGCTGATGTTCCTTAAAACAACGCGTGGAGATTAAAAGCGTTAAGAACCACTGGTCCGGACGTATTTAATATTATCGAGGCTGATCGAATAGTTCGATACCTCGATATTCCGTTCGCGCGTTATTGCCAAAGGGTTCCTGTCGGCATAATGATAATAACAACGTCACTCGCGCGGATAAACGTCCGCGTGGCCATTTGTTCGCCGATGCAATAATATCGATCCGATTAAGGGACCCCATTGTACCTGCGACGAAGCTTCAATTGGCACCTGTGCATGGCAGACTACGCTTACCCGCTTGGCCCCGGACGACGGTTCCAATCGACGCTGTCATCGGCGTCGTCGACGTTCGATTAATTGCAAAAACTGGCCCGTGGAACTGGAACCACGTTGCAATAATACTCGCGATCACGTTTAGGCGTCGCGAGAACCCGTTCGTGGCACCGAACTGACACGGAACGATCCACGATTTCCGGCCGATCCGGCGTTATCAGCACGATCTGAATTGAAACGCAGGAAGCGAGTAAATCTAACTGGCCCGCGAGTAAATCGTGGCTCGTTAGGTCGGCCTGGGACGGGGCTCGACGATCGATTTTTCGAACCACGCTTCCAAACTGCATCCGCTCGTTACTCGTATAATTTAATATTGCAGAGGAAAGGCTGGTATTTTGGGTCCTCAAATTTTAAACGACTGGAGTTGCGTCCAACAGAAGGTGGAATATTACAAAAATAGATCAGATTGCACATCCCTGCATTGAACGAATGTTATTTCATTTTTCAAGAAGAATCAACAAGCTTGTCTCGGAGCAAATAATAAGAAAATTCGTCCTCGATCGAATTACTTTTCGACGAGCGTGCTCGGGATTGGCGAGGAAAAAGTGCTCGATGTTGATTAATACTACGGGACGATAAGAGCGATGGCGGCGCCAATTCGTTGGGGTAAACTCCGTAATGAATAAGAAAACTGGTTCGCCGTGCAACGGTGTTGTCGATGTAATCGGTTCACGAGAACTTTTC